TCCGAATATGAAAAAATGTTATTCGGATAACGACGGCCTTTTCCTACACAAAAGAACACTAGCAGCCCACGGCTAATAACTTACTAAGTGACGTCAGGTGTCTCCCGTCCAATAAGGCGACCACTTCCCCGGAAACGAAGCGTCTCACCCTCCTATTGTTGTACCCTGAGTGCTGTGTTACTCTACAATAACGTCAATTTCCGAGTCTTGTAACAGGTATGAGGGTACTCTTTATTACTTCCTGTCCCCGCCCATCCCTCCATCACACCTGACTGGCTGTCCTACTCACTCAATAACTGCGTCATAATTGTGTTACGACGCTACGGAATCATGCGCTCGTCAATTTTTGGGCATATGAGGTTATTGGTGTCATCTTAAACCTTGTTCATTTGTATTGATTAAGATTTTTTTTTTAAATTCATCTATCTTGAATTGAAGTCTTGATACTTATGATTGAAGGGAGTAGGGATCGCTTGGTGTTATAGGTAAAATTAGTGAGAAAATGGCACCAAATGTGGAGACTTCCAAAGATTGAGTTTCCAAGGAAACTGCGAATTTATCGTTTCTGTGCCAGTAACAAATCCACACTAAAACATAAACATATTATTTTTTGATGGACATAAAAGTATTGAGATAAAAACAACCAACAAAAAAATCCCCCACCACAAAACAAAAACAACAAAAACAAAAAAACAAACAAAAAAAACCCTTAAAAAAACCCAACCATAAACGGATAAATGCCGGTTTGCTCGATTTCATTATACTGACGAGCGCCTGATTTCACAACGATACCACACACATGACCCCTAAAAGGTCAATATTTGCGACCCAGGCACTTGCTCTATAAGGGACTCCGCTCACTGATATCTTCACTATTGTTTTTTGAGGGATTTTCTACTGTTTTCCATGATGGTAGGTTCACGTCATGCTGGTCTGTGCTCTCTGTTGTTGTTGTTGTTGTTGTTATTCTTGTTGTTGTTGTTGTTGTTGCTGGTGTTGTTGTTGTTGTTGCTGTTGTTGTTGTTGTTGTTGTTGTTGTTGTTGTAGATATTGTCGTTGTAGTTGTTGCTGCAATCGTAGTAGTAGCAGTAGTTGTGTGGGTGGTTGGTGGGTGCTCTGGTGTGGTTTGTTCCTTCTCTCCTATCAAACATCTATCGTATTTATCTCCCCTCTGTCCCCTCCTTCTTTTTTGTGTATGTTACTCTCTTATAACACCTCTAATCTTCGGCACTTATATAACCTTAATGTGCTGCTAAAACACTTACCAAAACTACCACAGAAAAGCAGCAGTTGTCGCAGTAGTAGTGGTAATGGTAGTTGTTAATTTTGTTGTAGTTACTGTCCTTGTAGTAGAAGTATTATCAATTGGTGTAATATTGGTTGTAGTTTTTGTTGTAGCTGTAGCTGTTGTTGCTATTGTAATTGTAGTTCTTATAACCGTTGCTAGTGTTTTTGATATAGGTATTACCATTTCTAAGAGGCTGGCTTCGACCCGGCCTGTCAGGGTACACCCAGGTATAGAGGGATAGTTTTAGTAAAGTGTTACGGCTCTCGCAAATGCATATTATAGTCATATGAGCGCCAAGGCCCAGAGAGCGAGGTCTTGGGTTCCTTTTTGTTTGTTGTTTTAGTAAGATTTTACAGCGCTCGCATATGGTCATAAGAATGTCAAGGGGTAGATGTCAAAAGAGAAGTCTTTACAGGGAATCAGGCTTACTCTGCTCAGCTCTCTAGCTTCAACAGCACAAAGTCTGCTTCGACTATCAAGGCACCCTGGAAATAGCGGATCACAAGAGTGTGACAAACATACAAAGGAAGTAGAGGAAAAATGACGATAGGAAGGATTAGGAAAGAAAAAGCTGCAGTTCTCTGTTGCAGTTCAGGCACAGTTATGAGCATGACATCGATGAATGAGCCCATTTACAGCTACAAATGCACCATGCATGAGAACATGGTGAATGC